TGTTTTCTTTTGTATAATTCAATGTTCATGTAGAAGTAGTTGGTTTGGGAGGTTTTTTCTTTCACTTTATGTCTGAAAGTATCTTCTATGCGTGAGCTACACATCTCTTTTAAACAGTGTATTTTCAACTTAATTGCTTTCTTTCGTTCTATCGAAGTTTTCCACATTTTTTTGTATGAAGATGGAGAAGTGAATACCAAAAACCTTTTTTCCAAAAATAGTTATAATAGCCATAATTGAAATGCTACAAGATAAAAAACAATCTTGAAATACTTAACATTCAAACTAAATTAAAATTCAGAGTGCACTTCAACTCACTCCTGAACTTTTTCTTGAATGAACCTAATATCACATTGAATATATCTAAACCAGAATATTTAGACTCGTAAGAAGCCATCATTTTGTTGATTTGAGAATATCTTTTCACGTTGGTTTTATGTAAGTTGAGACTTCAAAAGTTCAATGGAACTGACCGATACTTGATGAAAATCCATATCAAAACTTACTCATAAGATGTATTTTGATTTTCACAAAACTGCGACAAGTGTTTCGCTATACAATACTTTTCTCAAGCAGAATCAAAATCCTGCTTGTGAAAGCTGTATAAGGAAACACTTGCCAGGGTTTACAGTGAATCTTTAAAAGATGGCTTTTTCTCAATAGAAAAGGTAATCAAGTACGTATGCTTCAATGTAAGCGAATGATTAAAACTGTTCGATGATTTATAGAAATTACAAATTTCAAGGGAATTAAAACAAAACTGCTGTCACAAACCTTTGATACCTGTCATTTAATTGTATATTCTACAACAATTTCACCAACATCATCAACAATGTAATGAGGTCGAAGATCTTGGATCTTCGACTTCATTAGGTACTTCGAAATTTGTCGCTTGAGAGAATATTTGGATATCATCTACTCAAGCTGTTTGTTTTGTTACATTATTTCATGTGATGTTTATTTTTATAAAATGTGTCCATTTTTATTTAAACACAAATTTATTCATTTTTGAAAATCAAAAGGAAAAGTCCATTTTTTTTGATAGATATTGGATTCAATAGCTTATGAAATGAAATTTTACATTTCCCTGTAACATTTTTTGCAGTAGACCCATTTTGGAAAGCAACAGGTGTGATATCTATGAGAGGAATAGAAAAAATCATAAAAACACCCTCTGTACATGGACAGTAATGCATATATCTCACTTATTTTTGCAGAACTTAATAAAATTCAGAATATAAAAGCTGTTGTGCTATGAATGATGTATCTAATTTTTCATTTTATTCAATGTAGGATTGAATTAGTGGTGTAGATCACTTAAAAATATTAGTGATATAAGAAAGTACTTACCACTAGACGTTTCATCTTATTCTTGGATCAATTTGATATATATGAATCACCTGCCAATTGATTGGAATATGGATAAATTTATTTTTATTTGTCAATTTGAGACATGTCAGAGATATGTATACTAATTTTTCGTTTGTTTAATGCTTATTCATTTCAATAAAACACTAACGTGAAAATAAAAACTTCACATTTATTAAAAAGTTGAGAATTAACAATTCATTACATAGTTGTGAATTACTTATTAAAATTCAGGTAAAATGCTTAGGAACTTAAAATTGTCAGGAATATTGAAATAGCGGCCATTGTGATCAAACACTTCCATTACGAGTACCTATTAGGAATCCACGTGGGAATCAGTCTGAGGAATTCAAAGTATAACTCATAAAGTAGACGGTTTATGAATGCCTCCATATCCTCCAGGAAGTAGACGAACTGGTACAGGAACAGACAGCCCAAATCGAGAATCATATCGCCAAAGCGCTGGATTACCAGTCCTAAACCTCTTATGAATTGGTGGTAATCTGAAACAAAACAATCACTGAAAACTGATTCACAAATAAACAATTGACTTGTCTTACTCATTGGAAAGAATCCTTGGCAGAAGAACCGTTCCCGGACAATAATTAAAAGTGCCTTGCTGGCAACTACTACCAGGTTTTGGAAACCCATTTTGACTTGACTGAAGACAAATAAACTCAACAATGGTCTCTCAGCGACTGAAGACTAAAGAAAGTTGAAAAGCCGGTAAATGTTTAGAACTCAAGCCCGCGCAAATTCACGCCAAGCAAGGGCACACCCAAAGAAAAAAACAGCATTCGATGTTGATCCACACCACAAGATGGCGCTGAAGAATGTACTAGCCGTTCTGAAACTATAGTTATAATGTGGTGGGGTGTATTTCTTTTCGACTGTATTATTCGTAGCAAAAACATTAGCTCTACGTTCCCAACTGAAGAAATGTGTACGATCTTTTAAAAGTGATGGAACCTTGAAGTATTAGAATCACTGTTTTGAAGCAGCTTTTTCGTTTTATCGCATTTGTTTTGCAAATGTTGAATTTACCGTTGAGAGGGGATTAGCGGTTGAAAATTTTTCATTCAAAATTATTTGAACGAATGTACTGACGTATTTTATACATATTTCTCAAAGCTTGGTCAAAAAGACTTAGATAATAAAACATACCTACATAAAGGAAATAAGGTAAAACAGATTGAAGGGAATAGGCAGCGGTTTTGATGAAAGATCGTACGGCTAATACCGCCGCCCCGACTCCGAAAGGATAACATCGTCATGTTTCAGAAAAGTCATACAAAAAATTATTAATTTGTATAGGTAAACCTTCATCTTGAATAACTTCTTCCACGTGAAAACCGTAAATTCCGTTCGGTAGTTTTTGAGTTTATCGCGTTCAGACAGACAGACGCAGCGAGTGCAAGCTTTATTGTACAATGGAATGTAGTGATTAAATGTATCTCACTTTATTCTTCATCCTTTCAGGTAATACCCCTGTGCTACGGTTATGTTTTATTTGGATGAATGCCGGCTCTTGAGCAGACATTCAATAATTAGAATAACAAACAACTTACACTTCATTTGACCAATGAAAACCTTTCCCTCGATTACTTTCAGACAAATAAAAGTTTCTTATTGGTCAAATGAACAATACTTCTTTTTATCAGCAAGACCCGTGAAAGAAGTTGTTGGATCTAAAAGCGCCTTCTCATGAGCGACAAAATTCTGACAACTAGTGAAATGCATACACTGGTGTTTATTGTAAGCAGTATTTCAAAACGTTTACTGTCCATAAAAATCTGAAATGCAATACATTTCAAGGTATAACGTATCTTACTGCCTTGTCTTTCATTTATTGAGAGTTGTGATGTTATGAAGTGTTCAATTTATTGAGGTTTTATTCAAATATTGAAAAGGTATGTTAAGAAAATTGAATTAAATTTGTTGAAAATTGATTGAGAATCAATTTTAGTTTGTGTACGTGTATTTTGTTCAAAATATGGTATTCTGAAGTATCTTTGGACCTTTTTCACAGTTCCTCCCCAAGATTAAAGAACAAATGACGTCTTTTAAAACATAATTAGTCAGGAATAAATTAAAAATCATACCTTCTGAAATGACGTTAACATTAAATTTTTTTTTAACGAAGTTTCAACGAAGTCATTTATAATTCTCCAGGGTAAGTTTAAGATATTAATTAAATATTTTTTTATTTACATTTTCTTACAATGATTCGACCGTTTTACAAGCCACCACTTTGTTATTTCCAGTTATTTACTTTCTATTTACAGACATGTTCGTATGGATTATGAAAACACACTTTTTATAGTCAATTGAAATAAATTTATCTGTCTTCATATTGCATTTCTGTATTTATATAGAAAATGTTTGATAAGTACCCCCTGCACTACGACCATGTATTTGAAGGTGAAAGCATGCACTCCTTCATTACAGTTCTTTGGTCCGCGCGCGCCACTATTCATTTGGCCAATAAGAACCTTTCCCTCGCTTATTGTAAGGGACGCCAAGTTCCTTATTGGTCGAATGAACTGTACTTTGGTGACAGATAAAGCTCTGTGAAACTGGTTTATTTGCATTTAAAGGTGTCTTTTCACGCGGGCAGCAACAGTTTTTCTGCAAATGTTTTGTATAATGCAAATGTTCATTTAGAAGATTTACCGTTCATAAAAAGGGTAAATGCAGTAAATTTCAAGGTTTAACAAATGAATGTCGGAATGTCAATGAGCCTTTCATTTGTAGATATATTTTGGTAGAAATTAGCGGAAAGAGAAACATGCTTTAAGACGCATTTAAAAGTTTGGAAACCGAAAAATGTGAAATGAGATCATTGAATAACAACAAATGTGCCATTCCAAACAGCCCATTGTTTACTTTCTTACGTGGTAATCTAGGAACACGCGGAATATTAGGTAGATAACATATAAAGTATCTACCTAGTCATAAAACATAGATACATAACATAGTAACTAATACTCACTGACACTGATATTAATGAGTATACGTTGAGATTATTTTCAGAAAAAGAAAAAGTAATGAAAACTTCCATTCAAAATTCAGTTTTTTTCCATTTGTAACCCAAATTTCAGAACTTCGAAAATTATTAAGTCCCATCATTGATGACATTTTTTGTCGAGAATACTGATTTCTATTCGTTTCAGTTGATTNTATCAGACAATGGAAGTCCAAACTAATGAAATTCATCATGAAAGTAGTTGTTTCGAGAGGACTGTTTCTTTCAGCACCCAAATCGAGTAATCAAAACGGGTTACTCGATTTGGGTGCTGATGCAGATGGGTTGATTGTACAGATGCTGCACAAATAATAAGCAGAAACTGAACCCAAATCGAGAAAGCCAAATGGGTTATTCGATTTGGGCGCAGTTTTCTCTTATTAATTGTGAGTAACCGAAATGGGTTACTCAATTTGGCTGCAGCTGCAGATGGATTAATTGTACAGATACTGCACAAATAATAATTAGAAACAGCAACCAAATCGAGTAACTCAAATGTGTTACTCGATTTGGGTGCTGATGTAGATGGGTCAATTGTAGAGATGCTGCACAGTTAATTACTAGAAACTGCACCCAAATCGGGTAATTCAAATGGGTTACTCGATTTGGGTGCAGTTTCTGCTTATCAATTATGCAGCATCTGCATCTGGATAACATTATATTTTTGAGACTAGCCAGCCCAAAAGTACCGTTAACAAATATTCCCAGCAGTAGTTTTTCCATGTGATGAGTTACAATTTTATTACATGTATTGATTGATTGATTTCAACGAGGTTTTGCTAATTAGTGGAAATTATTTCTCAACCATGTCAATATCTTTTGAATATGAATGTGAAGACCAATCCTACATTTGCGAACTATCTTTTGATAGAGGGACATGAGTTGAATCACGACTATGACGTTTGAAACTCAATGTTTTGGAGTGTTCAGAAATTAATTGATTTGAGAATTTTGAAAATTTACTGAATGACCAAATAGAACTGCATTCTTCCTTTCTTCCAAATCTGTATTTTTTTTTTATTCTACGGGAACGACAATTCCATACCAGAATAATTATTTACTAATCGAATCTCATCTACAATATGGAATACCATTTCAAGGAGAATGAAGTCAGCTCGTTTCTCTTCTGTAATTATCATCTTCATTTCAGAATATGTCAACAATACAATAAACATATAATGACAACATATAATGAAATGACGTCACTGAGGGTTACAAGACACAATAATCTTGCGTAAATAGAAATATAAGATGCATAAATAAAGATTATGAGTACCTTTTTTATTTCTCTTTTGAATTTATTAATGCTGACCAATGCTTTTATTCCATCTGGTAATTTATTGAACAATCTAATGCACATGTATTGTGGGCTATTTTCAGTTACCGTGAGACTGTGAACAGGGTAGTTGATATTTCTAGTCCTAGTTTCATATTTGTGAGGGATGTAATTTATAATAAACAAAGATTTATTTTTAAAAAAGAACATTAAACATTCATAAATATAAATTGCATAGATGGTCAACAAATTGTTTGATTGGAAAATACTCCTGCATGATTCCCTATATGGCATATTTAAGATTATTCTTAACGTTCTCTTCTGAATGATAAACACTTTTTCCGTATCAGAACTGCTTCCCCAAAAAATGATGCCATATTTAGGCGCTGCTTCAAATTTTGCATGATACATGATTTTCATTGAACTGAAATTTAGAAATCTTTTGAGAGTTCTCATGGCAAACACGACTGAATTTAGTTTCATGCATAGTTTTGTTATTTGCCCAGACCAGCCCAAATATTCATTAATGTAAACACCTAAGAATTTAGTACAAGGAGCTATTTCTCTCTTTCTATTTTTCATATTTATGCTTGCTGGACGTTTCTATCTGTATCATATTGATATTCTTTCGAAGAAGCTGGCTTGTCAACTCTTTCTCATGAGAAGACTGAAAAGATCTGTCAACACAGATATACTCATGATTTCCTACTTTTCTCTTGTCCATAGCCACCTGACTTATGGAATTTTACTTTGGGGTAACTCTATCCATACTTCCAGGATTTTTGTGATGCAGAAACGTGCGGTCAGAATCATTGTAGGATTGGGTCCTAGAGATTCATGCAAATCTCATTTTATAAGATTAGGAATTATGACAGTTCCCTCTATATTTATATTTCAATGTTTATTAGAGATCCATAAAAATTGCCACACTTTTTCCACAAATAGTTCAAACCATAATTATAACACTAGGCATGGCGATTCTCTATTGAATAGGAGGTTTAGACTAGGAATATCAAAAAAAATTNAGTGGCATTTCCCCATAAAATTATTCCATAGTTTATCTGCGAATGAAACAGAGAGAAATATGTCATTCTCAGAGTATCAGGTTGAATTGCTTTTTTTAACTGCCTCAAGAGAAATAGAGTACTTGCTAATTTGTTACAGAGCTGTTCTATGTGATTCGACCATGTGAGTTTGTCATCAATAACAATTCCGAGTAGCTTGACAGTATTTCCCATTTGTAAGTTCATATTAGAGGAGAAGGTTATTTTTTGGGATTTGCTTGCGTTCAACTTGAGTTTGTTTGCAGTAAACCAATTTTCAGCACGTTTTTCAATGTTATAAGAAGAAGAAGTGAGTTCCATAAGGTTTTTACCGGTACTCATCAAAGTAGTGTCGTCGGCGAATAGAACACTTTTATTGGGTAATAGGAAGTTGCATAGGTCATTTATATAAATTACAAATAAGAATGGCCCAAGCACTGACCCCTGTGGGACACCATGTTTTATAGGTAGAAAGTCCGAGTTTCTTTGGTTAACAGTAACACATTGTTTTCTATTTTCTAAATATGAACTGAATAACTTCAATGCCACCCCTCTAATACCGTAATATTAATATAAACAATTCTTTCTCTCATAACAAGGTTTGCGTGACACTTGGACAAAATATTGTCTGCAGAATCCCCAAAATGCAATATCATGTAATATAAATGAGTGGATCAAAAAATGGTAATTCATTTTTAAATCCATTTGGTGAATGACAGATTTCTATATGTTGTAAATGAATACTAAACATTTTAAATGTGCCACATTTTCTAAGCTACGACCATTCACTTTTAGAAGATCACAGTCGAATTTGAAGATGATTAAGTTCGCTTTTTGAATATTGACGCATATTGAGTATTGAATGCTCCGTCCTTGACAATAGGCTCTTATATATTACATATATTCTGCTATACCAGAGGTGTATGATATCATCCACAAAAACATGAAACTTCTCTGAATTAGATAATCCAGATATATTAAAAATGGATAGAGCCCAATACTGAACCTTGAGGAACACACCAGAAGATGTTTCAACTCTGAGATAGAGATTCCTCTGTTTCAACAAATTTTCCTATCAATAATATAATATTAAATCCAGTTTAAGGCATAGTTCTCTGAAGCCGTAGCGTTCAAGTTTTCACAAAGGTGTTTCATGATTCATGTAATCAAAGGCCTTAGTAAAATCACAGAATACTGCAGCTGTCGCCTTGTCATTATTGAGATTGATGTAAAATTGTTGAAAAAAAAAGAAATAAACTTTTCTTTGAACTGAGTCTGTTCAATCATTTAGAAAGGACGTTACTCTTCATTTTCAACTAATCATTCAGTTACCATCGAGGATCTTGATTACACAGAAATGAGTTTTGTATTTGTATCACCCACTCTGATATTCTATTTTGGTGTGATTTTGAACTACAAAACAACATTTACGAGCAATCTCAGTTTAACTTCGATGATATAACTTCGAAATTCCATTATTTTGGACTTCCATTGTCTAATGTGATCCTACTATGATTTGAAATTTATGAAATAACAAATAGAGTTATAGATTTCGAATCATACTAGAATCATATTAGACAATGTAAGTCCGAACTTGAACAATTCACCATGAAACATTGTCAACCACTTTCAAACAAATTTACTATGCTATCTTTTTTAGAGTATCGATTCATTTGGACAATCAGTGGAAATGGTATTAATTAAATATGGAAAAAACATAGTGAACGAACAGTTCATATTGAACAGGCTAACGAATTGCACGTTTGATATCTATGCAAGCGCAGTAGCTCTCTCTAGAGCAAGTGAAGCTCTCAAAGCTAATTCTCCTACAGCGAACCATGAAAAATTAATGGCTGAAGCCTGGACACTTGAGGTATGTATCTGTAAGAATATAATTTCGTGAAGACGTGTTTTTACTACACAGAAAACACTTGAATCCAATTTAGCTTACTCCTGCAATATGTGCCTAGCTGTCCTGAGGCGGGGGCGTTACAATACCCGTGCCGGGTGAGGTGCCACCCTTAGAAATAAGAGTCTTCCTAAATGATGGCTTCATCCTATGGAAGTATGAGTCTGTGCCCACTCAGTGTCACTATCGAAACCTTTAAGATACCAGGTGGTAATCTGGGGCTATGCCCTGATACACCTCCATTCCGTAGCAACTCATTGAATCTGTAGTGAACCATATAGTGACTCTGAGCCTACAAACTTGGACTGAATGACCCCAATTGTCGTCTCTGTAACATCAGATCAAGAGCCACAGGTTCTCAGTTCTCCAACTCCTGATTGTGTTTACAAACTGAGAAGTGCAACCATGAAACGGCATATCGCTTCTTCAAGAGCAGGACTTTTCATGAATGTGCCTTGCACCAGCATCAGAAGCAGAATCTGCATCAGGACACAAGCTCTCTTAGAAGAAGCAAATGCTTGCACTCAAACAATGATTCACCCAAACCGGATGTGAATAAGCCATGCATGGCTCAAAATGCATTGTTTGGTATACCTAACTTTGAATTTCCCCATATAGGAATGTTGTTGTGTTCATCAAGCTGGAAATCTTGCACTTTGAACATTCGACCACCTCTGTAGAGACCAATCAATTTGAATCTTTTTGATATGTATAGGCTATTTCAATAGATTGTCGACAAGTATGATTCCAGAGCTGTACATATGGGTCTGGATGGCTACAGGTTACCTTGGAAGATCAAAAGAATACCTCCTGGAGCAGGTCATGGTAGCAGAGCACATACCTATCTATCTAACCTCAACCAGTACGTAGCGGGAGAGGCACATAATATGTGCTCTGTTACCAGGGCCTGGATATCCTCATGAAAAAATCTGCTCAAAGGTTGACAGGTTTGCATCACGATAATACACCTGCTCACACGTCATTTTCATAATTTTTTTTGGCCAAAAACAACACCGTAATCATGCCTCAGCCACCGTATTCACCAGATTTGGGGTTGATTGGGGTGTAGCAGAATGGTCCAACAGTTTTCTTCTTGAAAACTGATTTTGGCAAAAATCTAGCAATTTCCTGTGTTCCAGAAGGTTCTGTCCTGATGAATGTATGAAGAATTGTCATTTAACAATGTTGGCTGATGACATTACTATTACCGCCACTGAGCCTACTTAAAGCCTAGTATAGTATTTTCTTCTGTATTAGTAGATGAATCAAATTATATTAATGAAACTTGAATATTAATTAACTGAATACATATTTTAGGCAACAGAAAGAGTGAAGTTGAACCTGAAATTAATCGAAAATGGAAAATATTTGGATAATTTCTCCAAGATGAGTCGGATTTCTGGAAATATATGTGAGGCCCAGGGTATTGTACAAATGAACCCCCTTAAGTTGTGAGATTTTTGGTATTTATTTTTTGAATAGGTATTTATTTAGAAATATAAGCCATCATCAAAATGGTTATCAAGTCATTATCCAAATGAACATGAATGATGTTCAATATTATTATTTATCACTCTAACAATTCCAGCCACTTTGAAGATAACGATAAAATGTGGAATGAGATTTTTTAAAAGATTTATTTGATTGCTTTCATGTTAGCTTACAGAAATCCATTTCAACCACTCTGTTCTCTCGAATTGTGAATGTTTCATATGTATCAAAAAAGCTGTAGAGTTCGCTACCCAGAGAAAACAGTTTGGAAAAAGAATAGACAGTTTTGGAGCCATTCAGGAAAAACTGGCACGCATGGCTATGCTCCACTACATTACTGAATCAATGGCCTATATGATATCTGGCAATATGGACAGTGGTTCACAGCATTATCATTTGGAGGCTGCAATATCGAAAGTAGGTGTTGAACATATCTCTGAATAAAAACTATATGAGTCGACATTTTACATATGAACGTCATTTATCTAGTGAATTTTCAAAATTATATAACTCACCTTTTGTTCAACAAAGAGAGATAGTTTTCAAATTATTAAACATACTGACAAAACATATTCGATCTAGACAGCAATCATTTCTTTTCCACCAAAGTAGAAAAGGTATTCTCCTCTCCCATCACCAATAACTTCGGTGTACCACAGGGAAGTGTCTTGGGTCCTTCATTATTCCTATGCTATATCAGTGATATACAGTTCTATCATGACTGTAATTTTCTCAATCTATTCGCAGATAACAATCTCAGGCGATTTTCTGTGGTACTGTCAATAAAATGAACGATTCTCTATGAAAACTACGAATATATTTCAACATTAACAAAATGAAACTCAGTGTAACAAAATGTAAGGCAATGATCCTAACCACACCGTTCAAATACAAAAATATCAACTCAAACCAACTCAATCTGGAAATAGATAACAATAAAATTTAATTTGTGAAACAGTTTAAATATCTTGGATTCATACTTGATAATGGCATATTATCCTACATAAGTAAAAAAAATCGTTAGAAACTTCACTTCTCTAAAATTTCCCAATGTCTTTCAACATACTCGAAAATTACAATATATAACACCATTATAACACCATGATAGCTTACTTTACTCCCTTGATTCAAATAAAATTTCACAACTAAAAAAAGCTACAAAATCGCGGTATGAAAATAATACTGATGATGTTGTGGTGCTGCAGGTTTTTCCGGGTTA